TAGTATTTGCATAAAATAATTATGATAAATATATATGCAAATATAAGTACGGAAAATTCTTATCAATATTTTTGCAGTAATATGTCTGTATACTACATAAAAATATTAATTCATCGCTTGATATGAAAAATTTATGAATGTATAATAAGTTAAAAAAAATTTAATAACATATTTATAAACAAAATATGTCCCACATTGAAAATCAAAAGTGAGTATGGAAAAAATTGAACTAATTTATGTTTATATCTAGCAATAATCTTGGAGGGAATTTTTAGTTTTATAACGATGAAGTTCAATTGAAATAAGAAAAATTGTATTCAATACAAAAAATTAGTGCGATTTTTGAAAAATAGAACAAACTGTCAACTCTGCTTGTTATACATTAGCAAGCATTTTGTCAGCAATGCTCTAAAAATAAAAGTTTAAATAAGGCGATTTTCTTTTTTTTCTTTTTGATTGTTTCTTTCAAAAAATGTGCAAAGTAGAATTGCTAAAAAACAGCTAGAATTGCTAAAAACATCTGTATGGAAGAATCCGAGTATTACTATTAGTTTGTGCTGAAATATTTTGAAAAAATAATTTATTCAGCAAAATATGAATAAATTTCGCTGCCTATTTTGTCTTTATCCTTCACAATGTTGTCTTCTTAGAAAGCACTGGTTGAAAAAAGTTCAAAAATATATTCTGCTAATGCATAAGCTCGCAATATGTGACAAAGTCATCGAGATTTTCAGCAATATCAGAATTAGATAAGAATTCAGGCATACTCAACTGATAAAGAGTTAGGCTTCACTGTTTAAATTTTCATAGAATTCAAACTGCAATTATCACTACAAAAGCACTTCTACGAATTTTTTCAAATTGCCAAAAAAATTGTAATATTAAAATAAAAATGCTAGCAAATGAGTTATTTGCTCAATTTTTAATAGTACACATATATGGCAAACTTACGATTTAGTTCTGCTTCATCTCTATTTCGTTTATTTATTTACTTTCCTTCTTTTTAATTTGTGTGAAATTATATCACTTGATCTTTTATAGAATACTCAATCTGTTAAGTTGTATAATAATATCATCATATATGGCAAACTGAGTAGATAATAATTAAAAAAGAAGGAAAGTAAACAAATAGACTAAATAGAAATGGAGCAGAACGCAAAGTAATATACATAAAATAAATAAGTCACTTATGTATTGCAAAATAATAATAATAATAATAATAATAATAATAATAATAATATCATCATCATACATTTGTAAGAATTTCAAAATATTATAAGAACGACGATAATAATGAGTCTGAAACTTTTTTTCAGTCAAGTTGCTACCAAAAAAGTAAAGTTTAATAAAAGGATATAAAATATCAATGAAATTCTAAAACGTGAAAATTTGTATGAGAAGAAGTTACAAATACTTGGGAATTAGATTGCTTTAAAATAAGACTCTGCCTTTTGTAATATTTTAAATGCTTACAAAATATTTTATAAAATTTCCACAATATTTACTTTAGATTACTTTTCTATTTTTTAAGTCAAAATTTATTGTACATTTTGAGTTGACTTTTGATCATTTTACAGTTAACTGTCATGATTTCTAACAAAATTATAAGATAAAGCAAAAAAAGCAACATTTTTTCATAATTTTTAATATTCTCTGATCTAATCACTGACTTATAAGTAGTTGTCTGTAAAAACTAACGTTATTTAAATCAAAGTGATGCATAATCACAGGTATGAGGGCAAACAGCCAAAATAGTATCCAGCAAAAAAAGTGAAACACTGAAATGTCTAATTTTCGTGACCGTTTTGAACTCTGAAGCCGAGAATTATTATTTTGCATACTTTTTTTATTGCCTGAAAGTAATGAAGTGCTCACAAATTAAAGTTATTATTAATTATTATCAACTGTCACACAATAATATGAATCAGTAATTACACAATATTATCAAGTTTCAATCACTATTATAACGTTAATCACAAAAAATTGATTTTACTTACTAGGCACTGGAATTTGTACTTGAAATCAAAAGTCGCTTAGTATAGTTCTTTTTAGAAGTTCGAACTTGAAATGCAGTCTAGAAGCACGAATTTTAAGCTTAGCTGCAAAGAATTTCAAAAAAAATAGAACTTACCTTTTATTTTTTCGTGACAGCTAATTTGCTTATGTCGATAATATAAATAACACATCGTAGCTAAAGGGAAAATACATCCAAAAAGTAATGAATAACTCATATCAGAGATAGAAACAATCATCAATTGTAAAATTGTAAAATGTCATTTGTATTGCAAATAACTGCTACAACTCTCAAGCTTAATAATTTTTAATCCGTTGAATTAAGCTGTCTAATCTGAATCGATCGCAAACATATATGCAAATTATGCAGAAAAAGTCTCAAAATGTCAAACATTCAATTTTAGTGCATAGTTGCAAGGAATCGAGGGAGATCATTTATGCATAGTGAAATAAAAATCCATTTATTGAAAAGCATTATCAGTTGAAGTCTGAAAAAAAGTTCAAAGGTCAAGCATTTTTCAAGTTTTACAAGCACTTTCATGCGTTCTCACATCATAATTTTTTAATGTAATAGCAAATAGATGAAAACATTTGCCAATTTTCAAACAATATTTTTCTACAAAGCAGTTTTTTTATCATATTCAGTTTTTAAAAGGTAACGCTTCTGACCTTCTATAGCTATTCCTAATTTTAGCGATACTATCATTAAACTAGCAACAGTTAAGAGATAAAAATTTTGAAAATGTAAACATAAAATTACTGAGACCGATTCAGAAAAGTTACATTTATATTCCTTTTCATAATTGCTTGCTATTTTTGAATTCAATTTTTTGTATAAATTTTATAACTTTTTGAAAAGATTTTTAATCCTAATAGCATTTATAATTTGTATTGATTGTGCAAATACAATAATAATTAATTTCATGAGCTGAAAGTTCCGAAAAAAATTTTAGTAATAAAAATTGAGCAAAAAATCCTGATTACAAATTTAATTTCCCAGAAGCTTTTAAACGTATCGTAATTTAAAAATTTACACATTTTAGAATAAACAATATGTAAGACAAAACTAAGTGCATTATTTGCACAATTAAATGCATAATTTGCAGCTAAATCATTCAAAATACTTAATTCATTTTCTCTAAATTTGATAAATAGCAAAAACACGTTAAAAAGATTCATTTTTTACTTGCTATAAATAGTCCTCAATAATATCAACAAATGCTACTGCTAAACAGGACGGTACGATTTGAATGCCAAAATAAAACTGAAAGCCAAAATTTTCAAAATTTTCGTATAAAAAACAAATTTATTCGCAAAGCTGATCAGTGCAAAGTAGTGTATTTAAATTCATAAATATCACAAAAATAAGTGCAAAGTAGTGTATTTAAATTCATAAATATCACAAAAATAATCTAATATTGATGCCAAAACAATTATGTAAAAATTAAAAAGTTAAAGATTGCTTTGTATTGTCAGTGATTGTGATGATACTATCATTTGCTATTTCAGTCATTAAGATATTACTGCAAATAGTTATTGTGATAATATTCCATTCTTCAAAGTTTTCACCTATTTAAATTTATTTATTTTTTATACAAATACAAAAAAGTGACGACAAATATTCTCAAATTTAGTATATTTATTTAAATTATTTGTATTCAAATTAATGCATTTTGAACGTTTTCTTTTAATAGTTTTGTTGTTGATATATTTGATCAAATTTTTTGCTTAAACTTTTAAGATCACTCTTAGAAGATTGAAAATTGAATTCATAGTATTCTCGATTTCATTACTGGTCTGTCAGATTTTATTATTTGCCAAGTAAAGTATCACTAAACTAAATTAGCTCTGAAAATTACAGCCTGTGGCTATTTGAAATCTAACTATACTTTTCCTTTTGAAAGCTTATTAGTTTGTTTTTCATAAGGAAAGTATTAAAATTCTTGCTTAATTTGCAGACAAAAATTTTGAAAAAATATTTGCAAATCTTTCCTTCTCTACATAAATCATTTTTATGCATAATTCATATATTGGCGAAAAAAAAATTGAGTGCAAAAAAGAATTAAAGTATCGTAAAGAAATGAGTAAAGTAAGGAAATTTGTATTTAATTGAGTACAAAAATTTTTTTAAATTCAAATATTAAAAAGCACCAAAATTATTGCTATTTCATTATTCTAAACATTTGGTGTTCAATTTTTTTGCTATAAAAAAATTTTTGCCAAAAGTTGAACCATTTGAGCATACGTATGTGAATAAAAATAATTACTGTAATTGTAAGTTTAATAGAAATATGTTAGCATAAAAGTGGTACTTGAGAGGAAGAAGCTTATAAATTGCTTATTAATTTTATATAGGATGAGTGAAGCTGTGAATATTTCAGTGCTTGCAAGATTAATCTAATCTAAAAGAGGCGTAGAGCTGAGCTCACAGCTGCTGTCATCACTTCTGCATAAATTTACTTCTGATTTAAGATTTGAGAAAGTCTAGTCTAATCTTAAGCAAGTATTAACTTTGAAGTAATTTTGCATTTTATTGAGTAACTATTAATTTTTCTTATCTCAGCAGGCAATTACTTTTTCAGATTTTATCGAAATTTTAAATTGTATCTAATTGAAATTTTTTAATGAATGCAATAAAGTATGTAAATTATATACTAATCGCTTATTAATGTATTCACTAATTTTGTTTTCGTTTTAAATAAATACAATTATTTTTACTAGCATACGGTAGCAAAATAAGGCTTTTTGACCAATCGAATTAAAAGCAAACAAGTGGGGTAGAACAAAGCTAGCAAATAGTATTACTATTTTTACTTCTGTCCACTTCGATTTTGTTTGAATTTTAATAGTTGAGTTTGTGAATAAGTTTTGACTCCACTTTTGTGCATGATATTTCAGCTGTGTAAAAAATTTAAATAAATTGATTTACTCGACAGTTTCTTTCTTAAATATATATATTTACAAAAGTTTCAATATTGTTTTTGCTGATGGCTGATCGGAATTCTTTTGGTTCTAAACAAAACCACAGTAAGGAACGCAGCAATATTACTTTTGATCAATTAACTAATAACGAAAGCAATAAAAAACACTGCTCGAGAAAACGAAATTTATCTGAGAGTAATCGAAATGCTTTGCAAGAACAAACACGGTATGAATTTGAAAAACGAAGAAAGTTTTTGTTTCCTCAAAAATGCTTTCACTAGGAAATTAAGATTTACTGATTGACTGATTGATTAGTAGATTTTGATCAGTTTCAGCAAGCAGTCTGCATCTGAAGAAGAAGATGATGATCTTGATTTGGCGAGTAATTTTTTTGAAGCAAATGATGAAGATGATGATGCTAACTCCAGTACTAACGAAGAATCAACCGAAAATCCACTGAGAAACAATACTAATTTTACTCACGTATTATCAATTATAATGTAGTAAAAATTATATCAGTGATAATATATTATGTTATCTTAACTATTTTTGATGTATAATAAAATTTTCGCACAAATTCCTACTTTATTAGCTTAACTTATGAGATTTGAAATGACTAAAAATGAAATATTACGAGAAAAATAAAAAATACAAAATTGTTTTGCCTTTAATAATTCTATTTTTGCAGACATTTTCGGAAAATCAAACGACACAAGCTATAAGTAATACAAGTAGTGAAAATGAAAGTAAGGTTTCTGTTAAACTTACTTACATTATCAATGCCATTAATGTTTCATAGGATAGCATCATGCTAGAGGGTGAAATAGAAATTATTGAAATATTTATTTCAGAAAATGACAACAGTATTAGCTATCAATTTCATGATCACTTTCATAATTTTAATAATACCAGTCGAAATTTCACAGCAAACACGGATTCTGGTTGTCATCACTATGCACAACAAGTTTTATCTTAAGCTTTTTTAAAATTAAGTTATGACAATTTATTATCTCAAAGAGTAAATTTCTGAAACTTTTAAGTCGGAATAACGTAAATATGGAAATTTTTCAATCCTTGACAATTTATAATTAATATGAAATATTTTAATTATTCATTGTTATTTGCATGAATTACAAGCATTTTGATTTTTGAAATATTCAGTACAGATTTATTGATAAATACTATATATCAATTTGAAAGTTAAATGTTTAATTGTATTATTTTGATAGCTTGTTTATTCTGGACCTTCATCGGTTGGTTCACATTATGTAGTGAGCTACGGTACGGTATCAGATGCTAATATTGGTGCTTGTGATAGTTTCTATGGACGTATTAATAATAATACAACAAATGCAATATTGCCAAATGGATGTTTGAATCGAAATACCGATCAACAGGTTGTCTTTAACATAAATTTTTATTGTTACTGCAAAATGAAAAAAGAAGTGATAAAAACTTTTATGTAAAAGAGTTCTTATAATTTTGAGTAACGTAAATTTTGACGTAAGAAAATGTCGAATGTTTTAAATAGCTGCTATAATGTTATAGTGGAAAAAATTTATTCCACTCATTATAAGTATTACTAATAACTAATAATTAATCATTAATCACCTAATTTTATCAAAAAACTGTTTGAAATATAATAAATTATTTCAACGGTAGTTTTGCATAATTTTTTAAAGGATTTTAACACTGTTGGATCGATTGTTCGACATCCTTTTAACAATTCACGGCGTTAGTTTATTTCAAAAAATAATTAGAATCCTCACTTAGATTTGTCTTATTGCTGTGATTCACATCTCGATAAACTCAAAATATATCACTCATTCAAAAATTATTTGTTAACATGATGCAATCACAATGTCATAATTTAAAAAATAGTACTATGAAGTGAAATAATTATATGCAAATTTTCCAGCAACTATTTGTAATTTCGGTTCATGTCGTGCGATTTGTGGGCATTTTGCAAATTCCTTGCCATCCCTGCACAGAATGCCATTGCTTGCATCAGAAACATTTTGTGCAGTACCTGGGCGAACTTCATTACTAAGTTCTACCACAAAATATTATGTAACGATTGGAGAAATTTATCGTCGCATTTCACCACCAGAATGTTTGAATGCTTCACTTCTTGGAGGAATTTTGCGCAAGTTTGTAAATATTTACACAGAATTGATGAGATCATTATAAGTAAAGTTATAGTTTCCAATTCATTTTATCTCTTGAAAATCAAATAATATATTCGATATTAACTTTTTGGATTATATATATATTCGATATTAATATTAATTCAGTATTAAATATTAACTAGTAAATATTTACTATTTTATTTAAAGAGCAAAATCAAAAGATGGTGGGAAAACTTTACGTGACAGTTTAAAACGAGTTGGATTAACATTACCAGCAGGACGAAGAAAAGCTGCTACTGTAACGGCATGGACAGCTTTAGTTGAAGGTTAATTTTTAAAATTTCCAAATTAGCTTACATTGTTGTTTTTTTGTAAACAGTAATTCAATATGCAAAACTTTATCAAATATTTATAACTAAATTTAATCAATATTATTTGATTACATTTTTATTAAAACAAATTATTTACATGATATAGTGTCCACAATTAAAATATAAGCTCATATATTAAAATAATTATTGTATGATAAGCTAAATCTTGTTATTTCAGAAGAAGCAGTACAGATGGCTAAAGATTTTGCAACAGTAAGCGAAAAAGCATTTCCAGTACGTCAAATTGCAGAGTTCATTTGTAGCCGAATGGCTTGGCACGATGACCTTCGAGAATGTCGCACTTTTCTTGAGCATGCAAGGTCAGACTCTGCAGCATTTGATAGCAAGGGGAATTAACATGCTGTAAAACTTCATATTTTGCAGATTATTCATTACAAAGCCATAATTTTTTCTATTCAGTCAAGTCAAACTTTTAACATTTTATAGCACATTTCAAGTAATTATTATATATTATAAAATCATAATATGCATGCCTAATTATTATAACATAAAATTGTCATTATTAATCCTTGCATATCTCAGCTCATACTTTTAGATCACTTATCAGAGAGCTATCGGACCTGATGAATGCAGAACGCTTTGGGCCTATACCAAGTGGTCAAGCAAATTCATCTACTAGCTCAGTTGTGCAACATGGTGTAGCACATTTCTCACTGGTATTTTAAATATTTTTGCAGTCAAATTAAATTTGAAAGTAAAACAAATTCAAGTTCAAAAGAGGTCGAATATATCAGTACAACATTTGCTTGTTATGCTTTTGCAACAAACATTTAAATGCATAATATTTTGCTGAATAATAATAAATCCACTTTTTTTATTTTATTAGCTATTTAAGTGTCGTATCGCTTAAGCTAAATTTTAAAAAAAACGTCAATTGTTCTGAACAAAATTTTCAAAGGGGTTTTTTCTTGTTCTTGGCATATATTTATTATAGTTAACCCATGGATTTGGGCCTATGGCTTTCGTTACAGTGTTTGATACTTTGATCGCACTGTTCGATGAAATGCTGAAGTGCTGTGATCGGACTGAACAACACCTAAATGTTCCGTTATCAGTGATATCTGTTACACATATACCTTCTAACCGCTTTACATACAGTAATAACATGTGAAATTCAGTATTTTGGCCTCTGAAAATAGCGTGCAGTAATAAACACAATTCTTAAGAGTTGTATGTAAATTTTTATATCTCAAATCTCATTCAATAACAATTCAATTATTTATTGAAATTCAGCATTTATAATTTACAAATTTCTAAATTTGTAACTTTTTGTTATAATTTACTTATTATTATTTTCTTTCTTCTAAAATTACTAAATTTAATGAATCTTTTCAGTTAATTAAATATTTTTACTACATATTTAAGAAAGTGAAAATTAATTCGAATATAACACTATGAATTATGCTACTAAGTTAATTAGCTATATATAATATCGTATTAATATATTTAGGTGATCTCAACAAGCACAATATACTGAAGCTGTTTAACTATTTTTGATATAACAATTAATGTAAAGCATTTAATGACAAAATTTGCAAGACAAAATGATTTTTTTGATAGAATGTGCAACGAATAAACAAAAACGGAAAATTAAATTTATTATGCCTTTAAAGAACTAAAAAGCAAAACTCAAAAAACATCTTAAATTGCACAATTTTTTTCAAAAATATAAATTATTGCTATAAAATTTTTGACTTATTTTGTTGACATAAAGGTAATCACCAGACTGTACTGATCTGCCAGCCACCCACAACACAAGTAAAAAGTTTCTATTCGAAAAAAATTAATTCACAAAATAAAACTCGAAAAATTTGTTCTAGAAATACAATTTGGTATTTCAAACATTATAAGAAAGCATGCAAACACTTCGAATACTTTTTATTTATGGAAAATACCAATAATTTAATGTTTTGTTTCTTAAATCTATTCGTGCTGCTTAAATTACTAATTGTAGAAAGATAATCAAGTTTATAATAAGACTTGAGTGCAATTTAAAAAATTTTCAAATATTTTTTGAATAAAAATCATTAACTTCAATATTAGAAGAAATCGTTTGCTTTGCTTCCAGAAATTCGAAAATCTGTAGAAAATTTGAGATGAATTTTAGCAAAGAAGAAAAAAAGCTGATAATTCATCAAAACTTCTGAAAGAATATATAAGTTTCAGATATTCTGAAAAAATAATTCTTATTTATCTGTGCAGTACTTGTATTACTTTTTAGTCTTTGGAATGGTTATCTCATGCTAAAGAACATCGGCCACTCGACAGGCCTGCGCAATTCAATGATTACATTATCAAGTAGATGGAAGTAACCTAAATTAACCTGTCGACGACTTATTAGACCTTACTCTTTTCTGCATAATTGCAGTTGAAGTGCTGGAAATTGACTTTTACTACATGTTTAGAACTTTGTAAAAATATGGTCTAGAATCATTTCCACGCTTGGGGAGCCACTCCGTTCAGATGCAGTTAGCATTTGCAAGTGCTAACTAAACATTCCATAATGCATCGCCAACTTAACCAAAATAAATTTGTTTAGAATCAGCGCATCTCTCTACTACTTCATTGATGTGAAGACAACAAGTGCTAATTTTGTTCATTTTTAATGAATATTTTGTGAGGTTAAATATTTCAATTAGTTGTTATTTTAAATAGCAAAAAAATTAACAATTTGCTTTTTTCAACATGAAAAATCGCATGGTAATTTTTGCGTGTTCTGCACAAAATGATTATCTGAAGGACAAATTGTTCAATAATACCGAAGACAGTGTTAGATTTAATTTACGCACGAGTGCTGTGCTGCGAACTTTCTTTTTGAGTTTGAACGAATTTACGAATATCTTTCGATTACTGTCAATGCATGTAATGGTGCGTATTTTAATTAATTTTCCATTAAACTATTGCAAATTAAGTTTCGCTCCGTACAGCACTGATAATACATCCCCACTCTCTTCTATATCCGAACATATGGGAGCACTTTTTATTATTACAATTATAATGACAATTATTTATTATATTGTTATTATTTGTTGTTATCATTACCATTTATAATAATAATTATTATTATTGCTACTATGACACTGTAACTATTAACATTATCGTTGTGTTATTACTCAAAATACATATCGCATCACCATTATCGCTGTTATTGCCATTAATTATTATTGTTATCTTTTGAAGTAGTTTAGTTAAAGAAGTAGAAGAAATGGCAGTAGTATTAATAGTAGAGATAAAAGTTTTAGTAATTTTACACACATATTTGGTTAGTTAAAATTTACAAATTTAACAGAGAAACGATCGAAAAGATCAGAGGTGGAAATTTTCGTACCAGCCACACAACCTATTCCAATTCTTCCATTACAAATCAAATCCCGAACGACCCATTTCTACCTGGGTTTTGTTACGAGATAGATGAGATTTGCATTCAAAATACAAGAGAAATAGTTAGTAATTTCAGTATCAAATTTTGAGCAAAACCAATGAACAAATGCAAAGTTAATTTCCATACTAAAAATTTCTTCTTCATTTCTTATCATTTTATTCTTTTCCATCAATCAATCATGCATTTTTAACAACAGCATATTTCATATGAGATTAATATTTGAAGCCATTTTTTAATTGGAAAACAAATAAATTTTAATTTAATATTGTAATACTTGTAAATACTACTGATCACATTTTGTCTACTGAAACGTTAAGTCGAGATCGTATCGAGAAGGCGTGAAAAGAAATCTGATCAAATGCAAATATTCAAAAATTAGCAATAAGAAATTATAACATAAATTAGAACGGAATTCTGCTCGGTGGTTCCATATAATTTCTTTTAAATTTTAGTTTTTCGTCTATGTAAGCAAATTCTTTGACTAAGTAAATTTCGGCGTTGAATAAGCTTAAATAAATTCAAGCGAAATTTCAACTTTTGTTACATATCTTTCTAACGAGAATTGAAACTATCAATAACTAGTAACAATTAATTACTTATTCTTGCCTTCAATAATTTCCAAAGCAAACTTTAACTATATAAAAAAATACAATAATATTACAAAGACGTATGCAGTATTAAATTTGGAACCAAAAGCAGAATGCCAAGACTAAGACTTTTTCGGGAACAAAAATTGCTGTTCTATAAACTGAACCCAAATTGTGCTCATAAATTAATTCAAATGTCTTACATTTAAAACAAAATCAAACAACTGCAAGAATCAATCAACAGTAGAAAGACACATGTATAATAAACATAGTAATAGTTTTTGGTATCAGAATGAATGAAAGATTTAATGTAAAAACAGTAATTTTACAAAAGTAATACATGTATATTAAGTAATGCTTGACTGATCAACACTATTGCTGCTATCAGTTAAATATATTTAAATTGTATTTTTACTTTCCCTCACTAATTAGCAATATTTCTTCAACACTGAATATTTGATACTATCAATCTTTCTGGTTAATACCCGTTGTCATAAATACAACAAAAATTTGAATGCTTATATTACAATATAGAATTATCTTCAAATTTTGATAGACACTATAATTGATAATCAATTAATTAATTATTTTGTAGTCAATAGTAAAGAATAAAAATTTTTACTAAAATTTTGCATTCGTATTTAAAACAAAAGAGTTGAGAGATTAACAAGCAGTATGTGAAAGAAAATACGATAGTTTACAGCATAATTGTATTCGTATATTGTAGATATAAGCATCTAAACTTTTTGTAAGAAATCGAATACTCTTTCAATTTAATTTAAAAACTAAACTTGTTGCATATGAGTTTTAAACATTTATCACAACAAATCAACAATACTTGGAGAAAAAGTATGTATTAAGAAGTGATTTTCATCTACAAACATTCTAAATAAATTAATTGCCACAAAAATGACTGCATAAATTTATTTGTTATAGAATATATGATCAAATACAGTACCCATTAACTTTAGAGAAAAAATGTATTATATAAATTTATGATAAAGGTGGTGAAAATAGCTCTTTATATAGGTCCGGAAGCGCACCTTTCTCAGTTGCTTGTGGATATGAGTTGAATAATTCTCCTAATAAGCGAATATGCTCTTGCGCATGTCCACGTAAACGTTGAATCACTTCACATAACTTTTCCATCAAAGGGCCAACATCAGCTATCTTAAACTTCAATTATAACTTTTCATAATGTTAAAAATTGGAATAAAATTGCATTGTGTTGCAAGTTAAGACATAATTTGTACATTAACAATTTTCTTACTTATTTTTGTTCTAAATAATCCTAATCCTTCATTTGTTCATTTCACTTCGCAATTAAACAATTTATTCTGTCACTTCAATAACCAATAAAATTAAAACACTTATAAAAGTTTTCATGATTCCAATCAAAAATGACAACTTTTTTCTTAACATTCAAAAAGTGAAGAAATTTGTATAAAATGAAATGAATAAATTCTGATTTACTTAAAAGGCAAATAAGTCAAGTGATTTAAAAATGGTTTAATTCAATTTCAGTACAAAATTGCAAAACAATTATGCCATAAACTTTCTTTAATTCATAAAATTACACTTCATTTTCGTGTACATAAACTTCTCTATAACTGAAAGTATTTAAATTTATTTTAAGCATAAAATTGCAATAAAATTGTATTTATGACGACAAATTAGAACATAATTATACTACAAACTTTTAGCAGATGTTTGTTATTTTGTGCATAATTTTGAATTAAATAATTCGATTTTTTTAATTTCATTAATTTTTAAATAAGTCAAAATTTTTTGTTTATATAAAATTATTATTATTTGCATAGTATAAGATTGTACTTTTGTAGCCATTTGCTGTTGTAAGCAATTTCTGAACTGTTCAATGACATATTGTCCAAGTGAAGATCGATCTAATAATATCCAAGCGGATAACAAACCCATTTCTGCGTTTGTTAACCGTAACTGTGATAATTCATGAATGCAACTATGCATCTGCAAATAAAAAAAGCGCAATTTGATTGTATTTTTTTTGTCATCAAATATGTACATTTTTTCTTTTCTTTGTACAAGCAGACAGATAATAGAAGACAGAAAATATATGAATGTTAACCCCTAAAAAAAAGTTCAACTCGATTTGACCAGAAGGTCGAAAAACTGAAGCAGGAACAACTTCTCGATTGATGATAAGCGAGGTACTTTCGGCACTATAATGCCTTGAAACCACTATTGCTGCCAATTCAAATACGCATCCTTTCAACAGGGCTATTTGTTCTTCTTGGCTAAGTTGCATAAATCCATCAATCATTTTAGCAAATTCGATTATTGACTGAATTATTCGTGTCAATTCTGCCGCGAATTTCTTCCAAGCTTCCAACCTATTCTGAAGGTTTTTGGTCTCGTTTGAAAAATTATACATACATAATTTGATAGATGCAAATGTGTTGCTTTTGATTAGCAAAAATATTTACAATTATGCATGCACTCAATGATTAACTAACTACAAATATAAACTTACAAACTGTACACTTACTTTATCATATCTTCTTGCAAACAAAAGTTGAGTTAATGAAAGCAAATGAATATTACAAAAATATCGCAAAAGCAAATATTTTAAGTACTGAGAACTTTTATCTTGAGATATATAAGCACAGTGTGATAATATGAAGCATGATGATAATGCTTGTAGGTGATAATGAATGATAATAAAGCTGATTGCGAATATTTCTTTTCGCATATATTTCTTATGATGAGACGGTCTAATGACAAGGAAGAAAAATCTAATCAAAGAAATATTAGTTCTAATTATGATTAGACTTAATGATACGATAATAATAAGTATAGTAGAATATTATCAGTACTAATATCTCTGATATATTTTATCATAATTCTTTTAAATATGAGTCATCCAATTTATCTATTGTTCTTAATTCCTTAATAATAAACATTACAAGAAGCGGAAAGTGTCAAAAGTTGCGAGCTACCATTACGGTAACAGAAACTACCATAAATATATTAATAATGACGATAATAAATTCCAATGCTGGAAAACAAGTGAAATATCTATTTCGATAGATAAAAGTGTAATTTGACGACGAACTTTGCTACTAATCAACAGAAAGGCAAGAAATCCCGCGCTGAGTGTGCAGGAAGTGCTAATTCCAAGAGTCCAGTACATGATTTGTGCACTCAAAGTCGTCCTCATTACTAACTCTTCATTATAGTGTAGTTACCCTGTCAGTATCAATGTACAACTTAACTGTTCGACTGACCACTCACTTAAGGTAATGAGGAAGTGCTTTTGTGCAGTGTGTTGTGTTATTTGCACAGCAAAGCTGACACTGATGCATTCGATACCCATACATGCCACCAGAAGGATGACCTGTTTGAGTTATTTATTCGCTTTTCTCTTCAGTAATATTATTTTATTAGTGCAGAAAAGTCTTTTTTCAAATACAATACTGAAGAAGTTTGGGTAAAATTTCATATAGTTTATATGCGAGAAATTGGTCGTCTCATTTGCATAAATGAACAATTTCTTATCGAAGAAGTCATAACATTTTTTGCTACCCTTCCAAAGGGACAATTAATGATTGTTGTTTTCAATAGTAGCAGCACCAACATTCTACTAGTAAGTAACGACATGAGGAGTGGAAGTGGAAGTAGAAGTAGAAGTAAAAGTAGAAGTAGCAGCAGGAGGGATTGCTCGCTCTTTCATGCATTCCTGTACCAGGTAGTTCCTTTTGCACGAATACCAAATTACCGAAAGATTCCCATCAAAACTACCTGCCGAACTTTTGCCCCTTTTTTTAGACATAAGATAGATGTTGATACATTAAATAGATAGGTAGGTAGATAGATAATTGGATAGATAGGTAGATAGGTAGATAGGTAGATAGGTCGTAAGATAGATAGATAAATTACTGTGAAAAAAATCAGCACTAATTTTTACTGTATTTTTAAAATATCTCACAATGTGATACATGTGATAAATAACTGCTCATATAACTTTTCTTAATCATAATTGCGTTGCAACTACTTTATGATTTTAAATTATTACTCAATTAGATTGGCCTTGAGATATTATTTTTTGATTCTACACATGAAATTATAATGAATCCACAGAATCGTTAATAAGTACTTAAATATCATAGCGCAAGTAATTCAATGCACAGACTTGAACTACGATGTAAATTCCATTCTTTTAATTAATTTCATTCACAATACTATTTTATTGATAAAGCATTATTGTGGTATATTTGCTTCAATTTCTAAGTACTTTGGAAGTTATTTATGAATAAACTGCACTGATTGCAACTTAAAAAAAGATAATAGCAATAAATTGTACTAAATATAATTTTATGGTGCTTAATTTGTTCTTATTTCAGTGTAAGATTATGAGCGAAAAAAAGATATTAATTGGAATGGTATTTTTGGTAGTGTACTTCCATGTCTCACTCATACACACTCACAATTTGCACGAAAAATTTTCAGGGTCAACTTGACAAGGACATTTATATTACCACCTGAGTAAGGTTCATGACCGACAACAATTGAAACTAGCTAACTCATATAACTCAACATATCCAATCCAATCCATACACATAAACACGTTTACGTATTCAAAAATCAACACATCAAAATAGCATGCTTGTTGCTTGCTCTCTTCTTGACTATACAATTTGGCTTGTTCACAAGGACAATAATTGTAAAATTTTACATACAAACGTGCTTCGAAGATTGAGAAGGACGTTTACATAACACATCAAGATTATTACAAACCATTACATCAAAATGCAACAGCGAGTGATTTTCAATAGCCCTTATAAAACTTTTACAACTATCAAAAGCTTTTGCCTAACTTTATAAATTCACTCATCAAAATATCAAATATTAAAATTAAAAAATACTTTGTTAAAGCGCCTGAATTTATTTATAAACACCTTTTTGTCTTAGTAATTAATGCAGTAATAATATAATTTCAGTACTTCCAAATTACATCTCACATATACTAAAAAATATATGCAAATCCTTTGTATCAACTCAATCTATAATTTATTACATTTTAATGACTAAATAAGAAACAACTACATTTCTAGAGCAACCTAATATATAGCCGTAATTTTATGCAAGAAATAGCAGCAACTTTAATCCTTTACTATATTCGAAAGATTAAAACTTTTTTTAATGCTAAAAATCTTTTTGACTTTAATGCCTTAATACTGATAATTAATATTTTGCAGTTCTTGCAAATAAAATCAGAAATTCTTGAAAAATTATTTGAATACGCAAATTTTTTAGTGACAATTATTAAAGCAATGCAAAATATTTTCTAAAAAATGCAAAAACTGTTTGTAATTTAATTTGAAATTAATTGCAAATACTCATATGTATGAATTTCCACTTTTTCTCTTGCAAACAAGCACACAAACTTGATATTCAAAAAGAATTTGGTACAAAAACTTTTACAACCTCATAATATTGTTAGATTCTGAAAAATATTCAAGTTCAACTGCAAGCAAACAACTAATATCAATAAAAAGTATTGCATCGCTGGTTATACAGAAAAAATTTTATTATATTATTATTATTATTATTCAATTTTTAAATTTTTGAACAAACAAAAAACCTACTTATTTTGATATTTAATTTCTCAACTTTTGTGATATAATCAAAACTTGATCGGTTTTTAATATTTATCAATAAAACATAACAAAATAATCTTTACAGCGTGAGATCACAATAGTACAGAATGTATTTAAATTTTACTTTAGACAGTGCTTACTGAAAAAATGAATTCAAATTGAACTTTAAAAACAAAAATTCAGTTCTTTACTTTTTATTTGTGATAAAAGTTTGCCAATACAACTTAGATTTATATAATTTGTGTATTCTGTTATAAATTTTAGTAAATTTGTAATAATTTGGTCATATGTGCTATTAAGATAGTGAAGTAATGAAGACTAACTGTTTGTTAAGTAATTAGTGCATGTAATATAACGATTTACCATAGTGCGGTACTGTTGCTCGGTGTAAGCACTTGTAGATGCGGCAGCTATTCGATCTGCCGCAGTGACGGCAACTGAGCCGTGCGCGGAATCAAAAGCAGCCGTAACTCCCGCAATTAAGTCTTCATCAGGTTGTGATGCGCCAATAGTTTGTTGAGGATATCCACCACTCGGAGCAGGCACCGCTGCCTACAACTTTTTTCCATAACTCATCTATTTTAATATAACAGTAATTTTAGATATATATTTCCGCAAGTTAAGAATATTTTAGCAAATAAAGTTTATGACCATTGTAAAATCACAAAAAATATCATTAATTGATATTTTTAATGGCAAGTGCTCATTTTGCTATTACTATAGTAAAATAAACATTTACTTATTACATATAGTGCAATACAAGCAAGGTAACTCACTATAATGTACTGTAACATATTTATTATGACATACTGTAGTGCTAAACATGATAAGTACAGTATTGCAAGCATGAAAAGTCTTTAAAAACTAAAAAGCGACACGATCCCTACAACCCCAATGACTGTCAATGATCATTTCATGGCTAGAATTTATACTAAAATTCCACAGATCTGATCTACCTGCTTGATCCTTATTTAAATATCGCTCAATAAATTTGTGAACAAAAACAATGAAAATTGTAAAAATGATATTAACCTGTTGAGCAATGGAATAGCCTTGCCCCTGAACTGATGGATAACTAACAGGAGCAGCCGCAGCGTAACCTGTAGCATTTGTTGAATAAGACGTTGCAGCGTACGCTACGGATGATTCGTAGTTATTACTGTAGACAGCCGCTGGATGTGTTGCTGCTGCAGGAGGGGAATAGTTACCGTATGGTGAATAAGAAATCCCTTGAACTTCCGCCATTTGCTTATGCAAACGGACCTGAAATAATACCTGCACCGTATTATTATTGCATATTTAATCTTATCTATTACTTTAACTGCAAAATAAACACTAATTTTTCCAGTACGCATTATGAGTAGCAAATTCATGCATTATAATGTGAGACATTGATTTAGATTTCCAATCCATGATTTCCATCTTTTATTTATTTTAAGCCTTGAAATCTATATATTTTCACTACAGTTCTAATAATTAGAATTTGCGTATGATTGTTAGATTCAGTTCTGAAATGAGCAGTACAAATTAAGTAATGAAATGAGTATTACTTTAAATTAAATTAATCAATAATAAATACGAGAACTGTTTGGCGTAATTAATAATAAATTACTTCCTCGAAGGAAAATGCAAAAACATTGACTGCTTTTGTGGCTATTGAAACAAACTTAAATTCCATAACTGAGTAAATGATTTCTGCATAAAGAATGTTGTTTGTTTTGTTTATGAGAATTTTAATTATCAGAGAAAAGTATGAGAAAAGACTAAAATAGTTGATAATTGCAAAAGATACAACATTTGCAGTGTCCTTGACTTCTTACCGATGACCGAATATAAAAATTCAAAGGTCAACTGAAATGATGATTTAAGGTTCAAAATTTATTCAATAACCAGTTGCAATCAATAATATTTACGAGTTTAATCATCGTTTTATGCAAACAGATAAATCCTATAATTCGCAACTGATTCTTATGGGAAAGATTGATCTTATTTTATAATTTATGCATGAAGAATTAAATACAATTATCAAATATTTCCAAGTCTTTATTATGATCAGAGGGTTTGTTAAACTTTACGAAAATTTATAATAAAAATACTACTTCTTCCATCTCATCTATAATACAATTTTAGTTATTAACTTTACTGAACTCAACGAATATGCAAAACTTTAACGCAAAGTTGGCATGCAATTTTTTAAAGTAATATTATCAAAAATTAACTCCTCTAATAAAATGAATAAATAAGTAAGTATATTAATTATTACTTCGTCTTCAACTTTTTCACGCTGTTTTTTGCTCATTCGACCAAATTTGACTGCGTCTCGGCTCATTCCGAGTTCAAGGCACTTTTTTAAGCGACAATATTGACATCTATTGCGATTTACCCGATCAACAATGCACTTCTGTTGCCTTGGGCACTGATAATTGTTCAGAGTTGACTGACTTCGACGAAAAAATCCCTGAAGCAACTGTTGCTTACTTCTTGGACATTAATTAAGAGTTAAATATATTTCATTACTTAGATTCTATTTTCATCTGCTTTGAAAAACTGTAGCAATCAATTTTATTCGATTGCAGTTGTTTAAATCAACCTTGACTCGATTGCAATGATCTTAATGGAACACTAATAATTTTTAACTTAAAAACTTTGTTTAATTAATTTTTATCATACAATAATCAACTCAGAAACTTCAATGTAACAATGAAAAAATTTATTCACCTAACTTTTGTGGTACAATTCTAACAAATGACAATTACCACAACTAAGTAATTAAATGATAAAATGTAGCAAACAATTGCTGACACTAATAAAATACTCAGATATTAAATCATCCTCATCTACATCCACTCCCAAACAATTTATCCTTACAATATTTATAGCACATATTACTTCTGCAACTAGCGCTATTTCACTACACAAAGTTATTTGCTCATTTCTAAACTGTTCAGCACTAATATTTCATATTAATTACTACTGACTAAGATGAAGAATTTTGAATATTTAGGCAATAATTTTACAAGTTTTCACAAATTATCATAAAAGCAGAAGTTTCAATTTTAATGCAATTATTATTATACGTGAAGACGTCAGTCACTTCATTAAAAAAATTACACAAAACAGGCTGTTTACTCAAAGAGTGAAAATTATTTGAAAAACTGTAATAAAAATTTCAGGAGATCTGTTCCTAAAACTGTGGCAATACTGAAAAGTATTGTTTCAGTGCCATCTAAAGCACGAAACTGTTTCTTGTTGTGTACTTGAGTTTGAATTTATAAACTGTTTAAAGCAATCTTTGACAGATGAAAATTGATGGAATTTTTCAAAGCAAAATGATTTATTTAAGTTAATAAGTTCAAATTGAGTTCGAATTAAGCTTTTCAAAAGTGCCTATAAGTCTTAAAAAGTACCAGTATCATTTAATTCGTAATAATATCGTTTTATCTCAATAAAAGTCTAAAAGTGTGCAGTTTTGAACGAATAAAAACTGCAAAATCCAAAATTTTTTCTAAAAAATTTAAAAGTTGCAAAGATAAAATATGAGGACATTACACAATTAATTGTTAGCATACTTTACATCCTTCACAAGTTATGACACCGTAATGTACTCCAGATGATTTGTCGCCACAAACTTTGCACGGAATCACTTCAATTTGTGCTGAAACTAACCAAACAAAATCAGTGTTGTTTGTCAGTTAAATTTGAAAGTTTAAAAATTGTTTCTGGGTCCCACAGTATTTGAGTCTATTAGTCGGGACAGAAGTAGAAATGTGCGAATTATATTTAAGATGATGCAATACAAAAATCAGTTCAAAAAAATTAGAATCAATTACAATGAGGATATTATTTGGGATTTTTATGTTCATAAAGAAAATATGTATGAAGATTTAAAACATGGTAGTTAAGAGACAAAAAGTGAATCAAAAACACAATCGTTTCAATTCTTTTGTACTCTCATTCCAACGAATCACAACTGTGATTGTAATAAATTTCATCCTCAAAACTGTCATTATTATTTACTAATTATTATTATTATTATTATTATGAGTGCCTAATTAATTAACTTTATGCTAATTTTAGAATACTTTAACTCAAAACAGTATGTAAAATAAATCAAAATAGTGAAAAGTAAAAAACGACCTAATATATTATATATGAGTGTTAAAAAACTTGTCCCTCCTTTTTATATTAAATAAGTTAAACAATCGCTTAATCTATCAAAAGCTTTGACAATAATAACTGAAGTGAATAGTTTTGGATTTTCATAAGTTAACTTGAAAAATAAAACAAATTTTGAGAACAAGTATGAATAAATGAGTGATAAAATATGAATGATATGATATAGTAGTACGATCTCACATAATATAAAAGCTTAAAAGCATTACTTAATACAGTAATAATAATTACGTAGAAAACTGCCAAATTTGAATGCATGAATTAATTAATTTACATCGAATAAAACAATTATTTTTCATGACAATCGCAAGTTTAATCATATCTACTAGCGCATCTCAAATCAAATTTATCAAACATTATTTTTGTTATACGCTACTGTCTTTCGTGAGGCACTTTGAAAGTATTTACCATAAAGATGAATTAGTTTCAGAATATTTTCAAGCCGATACTAACAAACGTTACTTCAGAGAGATTTTATGACTTTTGAAAAGTTCACACTGTACTCTTTCAAGTTTGCGCTCACAATTCTCAAATTATACAGAATTAATGATAAAACTTCAGTTTGCTAATTACAAAAGTAATGGCTATGCTTGAAAGATAATAAAGTGTTTCATTCAGATTTATAGTTTGTTTTTGAAAAAAAACCCCGCTTGTTTAGCAAGAAGTCATTTGATTTTTTTTTGTATTTTAAGAATGTAAAAACAAATTGCTCTCAATTTGAATATTCACTTCCTAAGTAAGCACATAAATATCACTGAAACCAATGCAAAATGCTAGCAGTAAACTGCTTGAAAATATTCTTTCTGCTGATTCAGTTGATTTTTTATATTGAGATAACGATTTATGAAAGTTTTTACCAGAAATTTTGGTACAAATAAATTCCTCAACAAAAATCAGAATTCAAATTGCAAAAACGATGAAAAAAATTCAAAAAGTAATGCATTTTCCTTATATTCCACGACTTTTTTTTCAAAGATGAGATGAAAAAGTGCTATTATTGACAGTTAAATTACAAAAATATGACAGTAAATTTAAAAATTTTTCAGTCTTGAATGACTTACATAGCAATGAGAAGAATTTGAAAAAAAATTTGTTAGTTTTCCAAAAGGTCAAAAGTAAATATTTCTGGCCGGGAACAGCAATACAATGACTGACTGAATGAAGATGAGACAGTGCGAAAAATATGAGAAAAGTAAAGCTAAAAATAAAATATAAAAAATAAAAATTATGTAAAAATAATAGTAATAATATGCGTCAAATGTTCCTATATATACTTATATTTATGCAAAAATTTGTTCCATCTTATATCAGTTTTAGTTATTATGAGATTTTTGCGAACCGCATGTCAGTGGATTAATGTTTCGCTTAGTCTTATCGATTAGCAGCAATAATTTAGACATTTAGTTCACATCAAAGGTTAATTTAAAACTTGCAAATTTCCTAAAATCAATCTGTACAGTATTTATTATTTGTGAAATTCCAGTTCAATTTTTAATTGCTTTAAAAATGAATATTGCAGTCATAAACCATATTCCCGTGAACAACCCAACCATCGAATTATCTCAATTGTTAACTAAACAAAGCAGTGGACTTTCTGCACGGTAAGACTTGTGAATGGAAGAGAAGAATTCAGCAAATTTAACGAATTCATGAACAATTAAAACTGTTTCCAAGCAAAGTATGAAAAATTTAAACGAAGAAGCATGTAAAAGACAATGCAAGTAAGTCTTAATATTTACTTAAAAAGTTGGTATGCATAAGAAATATGATGGCAGTGAATGCGTCAACTTTAAAATTACAAACTTTGGCGGTAAAAAAAGGATGCACAGTGCAAATGAGGTAAATTTAGGATTTTAGGGCAATATAACGGGGATAGAAGTTGTGGTAGTGCTGAACTGATAGTAGTACTAATACTCATCATGTATGTATGCATATGTACACAATTGCATTATATTATCGCGAAAATGTTAAAGTGTGTTTCTATGTTACTAAACGTAAGAAGTCGGCCATCATTAGCGTTGTTTTACTACGAGGTTTTATCATGTGAGAAACGAAGGCTGAAGATTTAAGTACAGATGAGGTCACGACAAAGAAAGCGGAGCACCGGGGGAGGTTCAGAAGTGGGGACCCAGAAACCTGGTTTGGTAGCCCGCTTACCTCGCATTTTTGTGCTGCAGTAGTGGCACTGGCGCTGGCACTGACACCGGCACTGGTAGTAGTATTTGTAGTAGTGATAGTATTTGTAGTAGTAGTAATATTTGTAGTAGTAGTAGTATTTGTAGTAGTAGTAGTATTTGTAGTGGTAATAGTAGTAGTAGTAGTAGTAGTAGTAATAGTAGTAGTAATAGTAGTAATAGTAGTAATAGCGATAGCAGTAGTAGAAGTAGTAGCAGCAGTAGCAGTAGTAGCAGTATAAGCAGTGGAAGTAATACTAGTAGTTGAATAATTATATAAATAGTTATAAGCTTTTGTATGTTTCAAATTTGTGCTCTTGTACTGGGATATCTTAGAATGCACTGGGAGATAAATACCGAAATGAGGAGTAGAGCAGTGCCGAAAAATGGATGAGTGGCGATGTAGTGTGCACTGCTGCTAGACAACAACAGATAGTTGGATTACTCCGCCTAAAAGCTCGTACAGTCCAACCCCAAAACTGACGCAACTATTTGAGGAAGTATTTGTAGTTTAGTCGATGACAGAGAATGAAACAAGAGCGAAAAAAAAGTTGCCAGGACAGAGCGCAGAGTCAGTCCTCTTGTCTGCTTTGATACTTTTAACACTTTTGACTGCGAATCCGAGAACTGTCTATACCTTAGCTTCTTTTTTCAGCCTCGTACACAAATGAGATGGAAAGAAGAAGAACTGGTCAGAGTAGATAGTAAGTAGCAAGAAATATGTGTATAGAATAAGCTGAGAAAGTAAAGATTCAGCACAAACTTCCACTCAACATCGTTCGCGTGGAATAATTGATTTGTTTGTGTGGAAAAGATTTTAATCGCTGTTGTAATTGTAATTAATAGTAATGAGAAATAGTTATGCATACAGCAACATCACCTCAAATACTGCCAATGGACTGAAAGTCTGCCTTTTAACACTTTTGTAATTGCCAAAGTAATCTAAGAATTAATCATTAATGCATATTTTTAAGCCACAAATTTCACCTTACAGAAGATACCTAGCTAGATACAATAGTAATGCAAATTGTACGACACTAAATGCTAAATGGCCAGAAAATGTCCTCTTATTATTATGAAATTTTGACCTCTGTTTAAGCAATAACCACAACAGCAAAGAGTACAAGGAGTACGAGCACGAGCGCGAGCACGAGCACGAGCACGTTTCTTGAGTATGAATTTGTGTTGTAATCAGAATCTGTTTCTTTTCTTTCTCTACCACAGATTATACTTTGTGTGTGTGTGTGTGTATCTGTGTGTATCTGTGTGTGTCTGTGTGTGTGCGTGTGGGTGTGTGATTGTGCGTGTGTGTGCGTGTATGTATGCGTATGTGTGTATATATGCGGTTGATTCTGGACACAACAATATGAGGAGCGGTTGTGATGCGATACGAAGAAAGAAGAAAGAAGCGATGGATGATGGGCGGATGAATTGAAATGAATTTGAAAATTTTTGAGTGTTAAAATTAGTGATGCAAGAAGAAGAAGGCAGGCAAACATGGGCCAAAACATACATTGTTTCCCTGTTGTACTGCAGTCATCTGATCAGATGATGGTGACAACGATGATGATGATAATAATGATGATGTTGTACAAGATGTTGTATTTGACTGGTACGAGAGGCGGTTCGTTACTTTTCCGCCCGATTGTCCCTTTACTGTTTGCGTGATGAAGATGAGAGGACATCGACCCCATCCATCCATCTATCCATCCATCGCCCGAATCGAAGTAATCATAGGTGTGCCCGCTCTTGCTACCACTACTATTCCCAACATCAATTCAATTCATCTCACAACTCAAATCAAGACGATCACCATCACCATCATCAACGCCATCACCATCATCACTTCCATTCTGATTTGATGATGGAGATGGCCAACCATCAGGATGCATACAACATACACCCTGACCCACCATATCGCCATCACCTATTATCGTCATCGCTGGCAATCGCCACAAATCCATTCCGATAACTGCTATATATACTGACCGCAACTCCATCAGATTGTATAAGCAACAATTATACCTGAAATAACCCAATAATACGAAATTCAATCAAATCACATTTTTATCAATATTAGTTAGCATGCAAAAAAATATTTATTTACTAAAGGATATAATTTTGCTCACATCTGACCTTAATTACCGCAAAATACAACAGAGAAAGAAATTTTTACTAGAAGTAGATTTTATTTTCTGAAGCACAACTCTTATTTCTGCTTTTACTTATTTCTTTTGCTGTTTCTCAGTGACTCTTTCTACTGCTTTCTTCATTAAAATTTTGTTCATTATTTTTTTTCAATTCGGTGGTGGGAAATGTATTTTCAATCGTCTGTCTTCTTTTCTTTTCAAATGGTGCAAAGAAATGAGGCCAATTAGTGGTAACGAATGAAAGTAATCATTGGCAAAAATTAACAAACAAACGTGAGATTTTCATAACTTCTTTTGTTTTTACTTCAAATCAATAAAGATAAAAGGTTAAAGTAATAAACTAGAAAGTATAACAGTACATTTCATCGCATTATTTTGAGATCCATTCCAATTGTGCATTGTTTTATTGCAACCTTTGTGATTTGATCTTGCAGTACATTTATTTTGCGCACAGAAGGAAAGCAAATCTTCCGAAAACTATCACCTCAATTATATACTGTTATCTTGCAATTATTGTACAATATAATTATTCAATTTTATGATACTTGCACATGTATGAAGAAGCTCTGCAAAAATTACGTGAAGGTATTACAGTTCAGAATGCGACAAAATATGCGTTATTGCTATAGAAAAAACTTCGTTTTTTGCAAAACAATGCGTAATTAATAATAAACAATGCACAATTAATAAGAAACAATGCACAATTAATAATAAACAATGCATAGTTAATGATAATCGAGGTATGTAATAAAAGTTGAAATTATGTATTTTGCTTAAGTAATATGATTCATATGATATCAGAAATTATACAATTATTTTTCAGAGACACTTTAAAAATAGAATTCACAATAACTGATGCTATTACAAATAAATATTCCTGTATAGATAGACATAAATTGCTCTGTACTTCCTGTACGACCAACTTTCAATACAAATTTATTCTACTTTATTAATGTAATTTTGCACTTAAAATTCTTTGTTGAAGAATATTTTATCAGATGTAAAAAGGAGACACATTTCTATTTAATTAACCTTATAATTGTATTTCTAGCAGTGATTATTATTGAATTTGTCAGCGTTTAGCTTCTATTAGTTTTAAGCATATAATATTAACGATTTAAAACCGATAAACTAAAATAATTAGAATTGTAATATTAATTATGATTGATAACAAGCAAGAAAATGAAAGATCAAGTGAAGATAATGGACTATCCATGGCAATTAACAATCTTGACATTAGATAGGCAAAGGTCATTTACGGTTCAACTTTCCCGCAACTTTTGAATAATGCCCTGCTTAACACACAAAATGAAGTGTTCTGAAGTACACAATCTGATCAGTAAATTGACAGAAATATGCAAAAATTTCAGGTTCTAATATCCAATTTAAATTTTTTAAAATTTTTCATCATTTTAAAATTAGTTCAAGCGTGTAATCACAAAAATTTTTACTCACATACAATATAAAATTTTGTATTTTATTTTCTTTTTCCATGAAATTTACTTCTTCTTGCTAATTCTCATAAGCAATATTTTGAAGGCTTCAATTTGCGAAAAGCTGCGAAATTTGTATAGGAAAGGAAAATTAGTACTGCGTATGAAATTGTTAAAATAGTTAGAATTTTTATTTCAGTGCAATAATTTTGACAAACTTTTGCAAGCACTAATCATAAGTAATTAAAACTTGATAAGGAGTAATAACGATGGATAAAAACAAATAGTTTTTACTACATAATTGATCTGAATTTACAGTGCTATTATGCAATATGTTACTGGTTAATTTGTATGATACTTAGTGACAAGCGACTACTTTTAATATCATAAAAACAGCACTATACTATAGTTAACAAGCACAACAAGCATGCGTTAATAGAAGCAAAAAAATGAAAACAGGAAATTGCGCGTCCACACATCACTCTCAGCAGAACTGAAATGAATACAATAAGTATTCAAAGACTGCTATTTGCTTGCTAATAATTATTCTGTCTTAACGCCATAAAAGCAAAAAGTGACTGTATGAACTGTTCTCTTAAACATACTTTTATTAAAAAATTATCTATTAATTTTTACACTGCATAATAAATTATCAAATTTTTTTAGCACAGAATTTTTATATACAAATTATTGCTACAGTCATTATTTGTTATATTGTTAGGCAACACTTTTGCAATTAAAACTTGTATTGTTAGCAATATATGCTGGCAAAAAATAAAAAACTGTACAAAATTTGTACATTTAGGAAGTGCCAGTATATTCTAAAATGTAACCTTGGATTTATTCTCTTAATTAATGGTTGCAATATTTATTAATATTAATTGCTTATTTTCAAAAATAGTATTTTAAGATTGTTATATGCTACTAATTGTCAATTACAAACACAGATAAAGTGAGAAATACAAAGATAAAGATTATGTATGATGCAATAAGCTGACAGTAACAAGCAAATAAGTACAATTTTTATAACTTGCGGAGAAATAACAATTCATTTTACTCTTTCAAACAAATCAAAAACAAAACTTTTTAGAACAAAATTTAAAAAAATTTGCCACGAAATTTTCTATAAAAGAATCAGTCAATAGAGATAAAATTAGCTAAACTGTAAGAATAATATGCATTAAAATGTTTGTAATTTGAAGAGGAAAGTCGGATTTTTTTCATTCTATCCGTATTTTCGACTGAATATTTTTCTGCAGAAAGTCTACCCAAAACATTGGTAAAGACAGATTGAAAGAAGACTAAAATAACTGAAAATTGCATAAACAAAACGTGGAATGAGCGGACTGAAGTCACTTGGAATAAACAATGAATTTGTATGTTTTACGTGAAAAATAAAGTATGATAGCGTCAGTTATCGAAGGATAAAATGAAATAACTGAACGTAGTGAATAAATAGTTGACGAAAAACTATTCAGACTTACAAGAAGAAATGGTGTGAGGTGTAGACGATTGCAGGTCACCACATAACATTTAACAAACTCAGTAGTAATCTGAAATAATGACCAGAATTTTGAGTCAATTTTGAATTCGAATGAATGGTTCATAATTAAAGTATGTCAGATGTAGCTGGAAAAAGTTCGTGCTTGACAGATGCTAATAATTTGGAAGCATTACTCAATTAATACTTTCTGTCTACTACAGTAGTAAAGTATGTCATGTCAAGAAAACTTAGCGTTGTATTCATAACTTCGCATTGAGAAAGTTCAGATTATTTAGTGATATTTTGTGTAGTAGATTGACACCTTTTCAGGCTGAAAATGCTTCAAAAACGTAAGTGAGTATACTGTATTCTCAGTTATTGGAAAAGACATAAAAGAGGATTGGTGCTGAGAAAGAAAAAGGTTTGTCGATAGCAGAGCATTGCTAGTGAGTGCTCACTGTTAAAAATAAGCAAGACTGATCTTTGTGGTAGTACTGAATACTAGCACTTATTTTTACTCACAGTAATTTATGTACAGTACTTAATTAATATTTTTTTGTCTTTTATCGCTTGTATACATTTCCAAAAATTCGCAGCAGTATACAGTATGACAACAACAAGCAAACAAACTACACCAACTAACCAACTAATTAAGTACCTGTGAATACAAAATAGTTCTAAACACTGAAACTTCTTAAGGATAAAATTTTTTGTGCATTTTTATTAACACTGCAAACACTTTATCCTATAAATATATTTGGAGCAATCAAGTTAAAAATTCAACACTTTCTTACTTATTGTAATTAAATAGGAAAAAAATTCAAAATGTAGTGCACTAACATTGCTGACAAAATATTTTGATTGTAAAACTTACAAGTAAAAGTTGAAAATACGCTATTCTACGTTGTTGTTAGAAACAAACTGACAGTAAATTGAAAAGTAACAGCAAGAATCACCGCCACCTGCTTGATATTTGCTCGAATTATGAACTCTACTACGCAATTGAATAATTCTGTCATCAGAAAATTAATAAATTTTAAATGCTCTCAAAAAGGATGACAAAGAATACATTTGGCATGCATTACGCGTTTCAGTACAATATATAATCCCTTTTTTCTTTCAAATGCAAGTTTACGACTATTTTTACATAACTTTTTTTCTTGCTATTTTAAAACATATTTTTTAATATGCTATAAAATACCAAGCAGAAATTTATTTACAAAATATTTTTAATTTACTTCACTCATATTTTACAATTATATGCAAAGATTTATTCAAATAAATTTCTGTAAAAGTAGTCATATTGAGAGTGTTGCTTTTATTATTCATGAGATGAAAATTTTCATTCATGTCACACCGTAAAGATTGTTGATAATATTCGTCATACGGCTTGAGTAGAGTCTGATTGTTCATCCTGATCATGCATTGTGGTTTTTGCTTTCTCTTCTTGTTCATTTCTGTACAAAGCTCACCACAGTCAATGACTTTATCTTCCATATGCTAGGAATACAATTATTTACTAACAATTTAATGTTTAGAAATGTACTTCTATTGTTTCGCCAGCAATTTTAGTTTATATCATTTGTAATAAGCTCATTTTAATAAGTTTATAATTTTAATAACTTAATATGCTAATTTTAACTCCTATACTTCCTATTCTGAAAACTTACCCAAACTTTACTGCTGTTGTAAGGTATGTAATTGTTCGTCAAGTTCTGAATATTAATAAGGAAATAGACATGGTCAATTCTTTTTTGATACTTTTTTGAATTCAGGATTTGACATACTTTTGTAGGATTCCTAAAGAAATATTTTTATCTTGTCATAAGTCTATTGCTTATATGTGGCAAAATAAATTGAAATAAGGAACTCAGTATACTGACCGTGCAAATCGTAGCATCAACGGAACAGAATACTATATGCATTTTAAAATTCACAAAGTAGAAATTTTTACTTGCTTTATTTGATTTACAACCTTATTCATATGTACAGTTTTCTTTAATTTTTAAGCATTGTATTATATCACGTTGCAGGACAACCAATAAATGTGATTATGAAGAAAGACTTCCGCGCATCAACATAAATAATTTCACTAATGGAACTATCCATGTGCCAATATTGAACTATTATTTAATCACATATTACAGTAACTTTCTTTCACTTAACTTTATCTTATTTTTCGTGTAGAGAAGAATTTGATGCATTGATTTATTTCATGTGACACAAATGTTTCCGAGATATTTCGTCATCTGTAGTCTCAGTTTTAGTATGAATCTATGCTTGTGTCTTGTATACTCTTATATTGTCTTGCAGTTTCAGAGTGTTGAACTCAAATTATATTCATGGCGGCGAGCAAAATTGTCAAGAGGAGTCATTCTGTAAAAAAATCAAATCCTTATAGGTTAGGATTATTACACTAGTAGTGAATAGTATGTTAGTAAACAAGAATTTGCCACTCTCTAATGTCATTCATTATACTTTCGATTTTTAACAATTTCTCTCATATTTATTATCAATTTTTGTTATGGGTTTTTAAATTCAGTTCTCCTATTTAATCGTTTGCCTTAATCCATTATATTGATATAATTTAATTTTCTTTCACAGCGAAAATTTAAAATTACATGGTTCAATCACTAATTCATTATTGAATAAGTTGTGCTTTTTCTGAAAAATTTTCAAAAGAACACTGTAGTTTTTGTTTGTAGTTTTCTGGTTTCGTATTTATTAGGAACCAATTTTTATGTGGATTAGTAAGAGATTATCAGTAAATGATATCAATCATTATTCATAATTTAGGCGAGAAAATATATCTAGTGGAAGTGCAGCATTGGATGCTGCTCGAAAATCTGACGGAAATCAAGAAGTAAACATGCGGAGTAATGTCAAAGTAAGTTACAGTTTTAAATAGAGTCTTCAGGTTTTGAGGATCGTTAAAATGAATGTAGTGATTCGTTATTTTTCAAAATTTGCAGAGGTTGCGTGTTGAAGATGCACTATGTTATTTGGATCAAGTAAAGCAGCAGTTTTCTGATGCTCCTGATGTTTATGTCAATTTTCTTGATGTCATGAAGGATTTCAAATCACAAGCGTGTGTTCTATATTTTCTTCCTATCTTTCTCTAACGATAGATATTGTCTTCTGGCAATTATTATTTATAAATAACAATGATTGTTGAACATAAGCAGCTGAAAGATAAGATCAAATCCACTTTTTCCGATATTGAATTGTCGAAGAAATAATGATGAATAGTTTTCCTTCTACTCTTAAACAGATCTGTGTGTACTTAAAAAGTTGATAAGAAAATACAGTGGTTAGTTTTTATTTGAACCCACGTGTAACTAACAAGTTATCAGTTACTGTAATTCGTTCTTTCAAAAATGTCAGACTTTTAGTATTGATACGCCGGGTGTCATAAAACGTGTTTCACGTCTGTTTCGTGGTCGACCTAATCTTATCATTGCTTTCAACACATTTTTACCACCAGGATTTGATGTTACTATTGAAGGCTCAAAGGTGATAATAACGGAACCAAGCGGTCAGCGACAAATAATAGATGAAAGTATATTTCAACAAAAATTCACATATTTTTTGGGAGGTGTATAGCAGACTTGTAAAATTAAACTGGTATCAACTGTTGAAGCAGAAATTTGTGCTTTCGAAAATTAAGAAAAATTGTTCTATCTTAAACGTGTTGTAGCAGAGCATTTGTAGTTATTCATTCTTCTGCTTTAGTTTTGGGATTTTATGGAATTCAAGCAATTCTTTATTGCAGCAAAGTAAATATTGGTGAGGTGTTCCACCAATATTTGACTTGAGTTCTTCGTTTTTTTTTAAATTTTCAAGTGCTCGAAAATAGGTTCATTGTATTGATTTTAAAATTCTTGTTATTTGCTTTCCAGAAATTGAATTTGCTGGTTGTACATTGTGCAAGTCTTGTTTTAATCCATTATTATGTAGAAAGAACTGAAACAAATTTGCAAAATGAGGTTTAAAAGTAGGCAATGTTTTTTGCATTTTCAGGTCGTTCTGAAACTTCTTCTCCAGTGTTATCAGAAAAAACCAAAAGTTCAGCAGCAGTGTCTTCGTCTTCAGTCGATTATTCTGCTTCTGCTAATAAAGATCAACTGTCATCTTCTATTGAAGCTAATGCACCAAACCATAATTCTTCAGTGCAGTCAGTTTTAACAAAGAGTCCAGAACAAGAATCATCATCGTCAAAAAATACGCAGTCTAGTGAAATCAAGTCTACTTCTTTTTTATCGAAGCGAATTAATGTAGCTACCTATCAAGATGCAGTGATATACAGGAACAAAGTCATGGTAAATTATTTTAGTCTTCATGCTAGCATGTTTCCTCATTCTAAACAGATGTAGTAATTTCCAGTTCATTTAATTAATGTGCAAAATTGGTTACAATTTTTTAGGGACGGTTCGAAAACAGGCCTGAAATTTATCAAAAATTTCTCGAAGTGCTACAGCGACTTCATCATACTACACAAGTAAGTTTAATTGCAGTTTTTAACCCTGTTTATCTTGTCTTAAGTCAAAGTCCCATATCAGTTGCAACTAGATCTTGTAAAGCTTACTTGTTGAAGAATACTGATCAGTACTTCAGATTAGGATGATTTTTTCATGAAGTTTGTATGACTTGTTACTGCGTGATCTTATGTTTTGTTGCAGGAAACTGGAATCTCTCAGGCCTATAAACAAGCGGTAGATGAAATTGAAGCACTTTTTGAAGATGATCCTGATTTAATACAAGAATTTAAACATCAGTTTGAGCCAAAATCTTCTGGTTCGTCTGCATCTCGGTCGTCATCGCGAGAATTGGCGAGTAAAGTAATCGTTCAAAATCTTATAACTTCTACTTTATTGTCGATTGAAACGTTATGTTTCAGAAAAAGAGTCCGAGAGTGGGAAATCGCACTGCTCTTGTTGTATCTCCTCAACCTGTTTGTGTGCCAAAAGTTCAAAAGTGGCAAGGAATAAGTGCTGGAAAACGTGCTGCATCAGCTCATCAGGCAACCGTAGCCAAGGTTTTCATAAAATATTATCGTGATAGATATTTGCCCCAAATAGTTTTTGGCCTAACTGCACATATAATGACAGTAATTTTGAATATAGTTGCACTTTTTGTTTATAATGAGAAATTTTATTAGTAAGTATTGATATTATTTATCAAAAATTAATATACTTTTATTCAATATAAATTATTATGAACAAGTTTTAGTTTAAAATTTTGCTCTCGAAGCTTTTTAAAGGATTATTGATTTCATACGATTTTTTTAGATGTGTTTTATAAAAATATGGTAGATGTCCAGGCTTTCATGAACTAATTAAATTATAGAAAGCAAAGTTAGGTCGGATTAATGTGCTAACGTACGACATAAATGTTGAAGAAGCTCAAAAAATTGGCACAATCGAAGATTATCTTTTTTTTGATAAGGTATACTATTTAGAGACAATTATCTTTTCATAGGATTTTGATCTTAGATATCTCTGACTTGATTGAGCATATTGATACCCTGAAAATTATTTGC